GCGAGAATCGAACCCGAGAACTCAAGCTTATGAATCAGACTCGTTACCACTCTGCCACAGGACGCTCAAATAGAAGTATGTATAATTTATATATAAAGTGCTAACAAAACTTTAAGTTCAATTTTCTCGATTATATTTGAGTATTGCACTTTAGTATTTTACAGGTAGTACACTCACATGGTGTACTACCTGTAAAATACTAAAGTGCAATACTCACATGGTGTACTACCTCTACACCAAAGATCATCAAAATCCATTACCCCAAAGCCATAGGCTCTCCTTGTAAGTTTTTTTTTCTTTTTTAAATTTGTTATTTTTCAAATAAATTTCTAGTAATTTCATTCATTCTTATATTAAATCAGTGTTTTTCAACTTTTTTCACATCATAGACCAGTAAAATTGTGAATAATTTTACATGGACCAGAAATTATCTGCAACTATGAATTATGCTTATTTATTAAGCTTATATATGCTTATCTAACTACTGTTTAATGCTATCTAAAAATAATGCATTAAACAATAGTTAATTAACTATAAAAAAACAATTTCTAAGTGACATTGTTTAAATTACTTTTATATTTTTTTAATAAAATAAACTCATTAAACTAGTGACACTTTTATCGTAAACTTGATATAAGTAATCAAAAGTTAAAATTTATAGTACCATGCACTCTTGCTAATCTGAACAATATTGTTTGTAGAAGAGAAAAGTTCAGATTACAAAGATTATATGTAAGGTAAGTAAACAGAAAAATTTTTTAAAGTCAAATATAAAATATATATATATATATATACAGTAGACCCCCCTATATCGCAGGTTCATATAANTGTTTGGTATTTGCAGAAGAGAAAATAAAGGACATATTTAAATATTCCCAAAGACTTTTAGATTAAATAATTTATCTTCAAGGAATATGAAATGAAAAAACAAAATAATCATCAAATTACAAACTATTCACTTTAGAAATGAATATAAAATGACATAATTTATTCTGTATAAGTAATGTTCTATATTGTTTTAATACATATTGAAATAAAAAGATGATAATTCTACCATTATTTAATGTAGTTTTAAACTTGTAAATATCAAAATATTTAAGCTAAATGCTTAAACCTTCTTAAAACTTTAATAATTATAATTTAATAGATTATTTAAAATTAACACCAAATTTAATAAATTAAAAGAACCTAATCAAATAGTAGTGAATAACGTTTACAGGTTATCTGCAGATTTTTATTATAATATATAAATAATTTTAAATTAAACTTTTTATAAAAATAACTTGTTTGTATAATACATATGAATTTTCATTATAAATTTAGTTTTACATTTTAATTTATCTATGTAAAATAAGCAAAAAAACTATAATGTACTTCTAAAAACTATGAATTTTCAAAATGCATATCCCCACATTTAATGCATTTCCAAGGAATATTCAATCATAATCTGTGTAAATCTTTGCTCACTTGCACAAACCAAGAACATAACCCATGCATATTTTATAACTATAGTTATGCTGTATAATATTCAAATACTCTAGAAATTATTACATATGTTACCGTAAACAATCTTTCTCCATCCCATTTTCTTCTGCTAAAAACATGTTACCAACCTAAATAAATCATAAATTTCTTATTAAAAAGCATTAATTAATGTATCTTTATATATATTCAACATATTTTTGTTCTTTACATACCATTGTAGTTAAAGTTGACAGAAATCCACTCTGAGGTTGTAATTGTTGCTGACAAAATTTCCTAAATGAATTATTTATATTATAGTTTCTTATATTACTTAAAATTTTTCAATTTTATCTTAAAAAGATTTCAAATTTGAATGAAAAAGAACTGAAAAATATCAATATATTTTGATCAATGAAAAAATATATTGATCAAATAAAAAAGATTAAAAATTTATAGGTATAGGTATATATATATATATATATATTTA